ATGTAAATAAAAACAAAGCCAAAAAATAAGAGTAAAGAAGTCCAAAAAAATTGTGATTTTCCCCATGATGACTACTTCAGTGCTTTTGCTGAAATACTAAATTTAAATTCTTTAAGGAAGGCTTTTTGGTTTTTTATTCTGGCTTTGCTGGTGCTCTAAAGCATGTGCTTAATCTGCTTACTGTATAAACCACAACTGGCAGCATAGAGATTCCAGTCTTAGTTCAGAGAGCATAAGTAACCACTCTAAAGTACCTCCAATGAAAATCTAATATTTATTAAGTATTAGTTCACTGAAGTATATTCAAAGGTGAGTATCTCTGCCTTTAATAAGTTTACATTCTAATATTCAAAGGTGAGTATCTCTGCCTTTAATAAGTTTACATTCTAATATGATATATGAGAAAGATCCACAGTTAGGCATCTGTTATATTGAAAGTAGTGGTTTCTCTTTTAGCATAATAATGACATGTCTTTCAAACACCAAAAAAGAGGCTTTATATTAAATACTAAGTTATAGAAATCTTTTTTCCCCCAGCAGTTCATACTCATTTTTAAGTGCTTATAGAAATATAATTTATCAGATTATTTTGTGCTTTTCCTCATTGACTCAATTATGCAGTTTCTCAGTGATTAACTTATGGAAATGTGTATGTGGTATCTATAATTTCTTTACTGAGTATCAAAGTCTTCCTTTTTGTTGTATTTATAGATCCAACAGAGGTGGAAAACAGACCTCAGGGACCTTTTTACCATTTCATAATTGTGACTTAGACATTTTATTTCTGAATTTCAGTAGGTTTTTTATATGGGTACTCCCACCACTTATGAAAGTCATTTTGTATAGTAAGTAAATAAGTGCCCAGTAAGCAACTCAAAAGCTTAAATATAATAGCAACAATTAACATTTGTATATTGTTTCATAATTATAACATCTGATGATATGCACACATTATTTAATCTTCACAACTCCAAGTTAAATATGGTAATTATCTCCACTTTTTAGCTGAAGGAATTGAGGCTTGCAGAGATTATGACTTAAAGCCAGTAAGTAGTGGATATAGGATTTGGACTCAGATCTTGGGGCCCCAAATCTTATGCTTTTCCCATTAGTTAAGAGTCCAGGATCAGACACTAGACTCCTAAAGAAATTAAATCATTAGATGAAATATATTTTTGATTACTCAAGTGTGGATCTAATTCTGTAGTAGCATTAATCTTCTCATGAATTATATTAGAAGTGAGTAGTGTTAAAAAGCTTAATTAACTTAACCAAAGGATTAAGGTTAACACCACCATAAGTTATGTTGATAATATGTGCCCTGGTAATATGTGATGATGGCACATCACTTCTGTGGTATTCTTCCTCCCAAATCCATAAACAGTATAATTCTGACAAAACTTAGGCAAACCCAAATTGAGGGATGGTCTATAAAGTTCCTGACCACTACTCTTCAAAAGTCAAGATCAAAAAACTATCACAGATTGGAAGAGGCTAAGGAAACATGACAACTATATATACTGTGGTATTCTGGATTGGACCCTGAAACAGAAAAAAGACATTGATGTAAAAATGCAAATAGAGTCAGGGCACCTGGGTGGTGTAGTCCATTAAGCATCCGACTCTTGGTTTTGGCTCAGGTCATGATCTCAGGGTCCTGGAATCGTGCCCCGCATCAGGCTCCATGGTCAGCATGGAGTCTGCTTGAGATTCTCTTCTCCCCCTGCCACCCCCCACCCCGTCTCAAATTTTAAAAATGCAAATAGAGTCTCTAGAAATTGATTAAGGGTATTATGCCAATGTTAATGTCTTAGGTTTGATAGCTGTACCATGGTTATGTAAGATGGTAACATTAGAAGAAGCTAGATAAAAAGCAAATAAATATAAATCTAAAATCATGTCAAATGAGGGGCACCTGGGTGGCTCAGTCGTTAAGCGACTGCCTTCGGCTCGGATCGTGGTCCTGGGGTCCTGGGATCGAGCCCCGCATCGGGCTCCCTGCTCCGCGGGAAGCCTGCTTCTCCCTCTCCCGCTCCCCCTGCTTGTGTTCCCTCTCTTGCTGTGTCTCTCTGTGTCAAATAAGTAAATAAAATCTTTAAAAAAAATAAAATCATGTCAAATGAAAATTCAGCAAAATAACTTTATCACATATATTTGAAAGAGAGATGAAATAGAAGTTCTTTTTCAAACAGTAATGGTAAGATCAAAGAACATGGAGATTCTAGAGAAAGATTTATATTTGAATTAGGCTGCTCCATAATATAGTAAATTAACTATGAGAATGAATTAAAATTATTTTCCTTTGCTCATGCTTATGTACAGAGAATCTCTATACATTTTTATTCTCAATTTGTGACAGTGAAATGAAATTGTTTCTAAGAAAATTCTGGGGAAATGAAAAATGAACTATTTTTTAATTCAATATTTATTTTTCTTTCATTTCATTCTCTGCAGTGGACAATCATTTTGGATGCTGGGTACCCAACCATGAATAGCTAGGTCATAGGGAAGAATCAGTCTCTTCAGGAAATGTACAAACTTTGCAACATGGAGGGTGAATTGCAAGGATGCAACAGGTTCAGTGGAAAGAGCACTGGTTTTGACCTAGCCTTGAATACTACGTCTGTCACTTTGTAACATGACTTTGGACACATTCTTAACCTCTCAGAGCAGTTTTTTTATTCTGTAAAATCATTGTCAGAATAAGATAAGGTGTGTAAAATACCTGTACACACTAGACATCCAATAAAAGTTAATAAATTCAAAAATATTGGTTATTATTATATACCCAATACTTTGCTATATGTGAACTATGGTGAATATAAAAACATACTGAATGAAATGGCTTATAATCTCAAGGAACTTTCAACCTTTGGGGAGAGAATAAAACATGAATAGATGAAACTGTTAGAGAAAAAAAAATTACAGAATTCCCCACAGCATTAAATTGTGTTGTAAAGACAGTAAAAGCAGTGATTAGAAAGGAGAACAATCCTTGTTTGTTTGTTTTATGAAAGCAGTAGCCTTGAGAAAAACATTTAGGAGTTGGTATACAGAGTAGTAGTAACTAATATGTTTGGAGAGCTTTAAGGTTTCTGAAGAGTTTTCACAAGCATTGTATCAATGTTCACAATTACTCTATAAGTTTTATAAGCCCCATTTTAGAGATAAAGAAATTGAGACTCAGAATTTTTTTTGTCAAGGGGCAGAATTGGAACTGAAACCTAGTAATGCTGACCATGAAATTTCTATGCTTGTTTTGTAAAAATATTTTATTTTCCATGCATTTTCATATTTGTTTTTTATCACCTGAAACAGTCATATCAGAAGATGAAGTCAGAGATACTAAGTGACCCATCCAAGTTCCCCCAGCTAATTAGTTGGAAAAGCAGTACTGGAACTTATATACCTGAATGTGTAGGGTATGCTTCCCATCTTTGCACATTACCACATTATTTTAATTTCCAGATGGAGAGAATGGAGGGGGAAAGGGACCAGCATTGGATTTGAATGGGTTCTGCAGTATACACACATCATCACAGAGAAAACCCTCAACTTTTCAGGGCTGCATTAATCCTGGCCATATAACTAGAGACAATTATTCACCCGCCTTGTTCTGAGAATGACATGTATGAATGGGCCAACTGAATTACCACACTTAAATTGCTGGTACTGTGTTTCACCTCATGATTCACATTTGTGCTATATTTTGGAATTACTTCCTATGGGATGGCAATTTAAAAAGACATTCAATTCATGTGACTACGGAGAGTTCTATTCCTGATCTACCTAATTCTGGTTTAAGTACAGATTATTGCATGAGAGTTGTAGGTCAGACTATTTTCATTTAAGAAAACACAGGATGAACCTAGATCTTTACAACACCAGAGTGCTACCAGAGTGCTCTTCTTTGTCTTCAGGGAATACAAAGATCTAGGCCTTGGTCTATATGGTGATTTCACTAGCACCTACTTTACAGCACAAAATCAGCAATCTTACTCCACACTTTCAGGGTTTAATGTACTTTCCAAGGCAAGTCAATGCTCTATTACAGTCCAGACAATGATATTTTCCCAAGTCAAAGTTAAACATATCCCACCATCACTTTTCCTCCAGTGAGGATGACAATTACAAATTGCCACACTTCATTACATAGTCTTTGACTATTCTTGTCTCAAAGCCGTTCAACTTCTGACCATAAATTGAAACTTTTGGTAATTGGTATTTTAATATAATTTCTTCATTTATGGAAGTATTTTAAATGGATTATATACAAAGCTGGACTCAAGTTTTCCCCATTTGTAAGATGTTGCCTTAGGTCTAAAAAATAAATGCTATGCTGCAGGAATAGAAAAGTTTTTGTCATAACTAACAAAAAATGCTCATCTTTTTCTTGGGATCGATAGTCTCACTTTTCTCGGGATCGATAGTCTCACTTTTCTCAGCTTCCATGTTCCCCCACGTCGATCTTGGGAGCCTGGTTATCTCTGTGTTATCGAGAGTTTAAGGATGCATGAGACAGGGGGCTTGGGATTGAGGGTGACAGTGTGTAAGCAGGTTTTGGTAGCGAGGTTGAACCTAAAAGACTGTAAATGAAGTTGTATTTTGGTGAACCTTTGTTAGAGGAAATGTACATTTATGAAATGCTGTTTGTAAAACGGGTTGTGAGAGTGTTGAATTGGTTTGTGGGGCTTGATGCGTTACTTATGTGACTATGTAACTTCGTAAGGCTTAGAAGCTGATCCCCGCCTCAGCCAGGAGGAGGCTGTACCCTGAAGCCTTTGCTTAATTCCAAACCGGAATAACCTGTTGCGGGACTACTAGCTCCCGCAGTTGCTAGTTGGGGGTCCCCGCCAGCGGCGCGCGGATCCCCGCCCGGTAGTCGCGCGCCCAGCGCTTGACAGGAAGGCAGTCACGTGGCAGCCGCAAAGCGGCGCTTTGCGACCTCGATGACAGGCAAAATGTGCGACAGCCTTGGCGCCGGCCAACCAGGGGCGGAGGCGGTGGCCAGGGAGGAAGCGGAGGAGGCGGAGGCGGCCGTGGGGTTCGCCCGCCTGCTCGTTCGCCTGGTTTCCCCGCCCCCGCCGGGCTCGCCGCTGCTGAAGGGAGCCGGTTGCGCGCTGTCGTAACCTGCCCTCATCCTGGCCAGCAGCAGCAAGACCGGACCCTCATCCAGACCAACCTCCCTGTCAGGGCGGCTGCGGCGCGGGCTCCGCGGGGCGCAGGCGGGCGGCCCGGGCGCCTGAAGGTTACTGAGTGCATGAGCGCCTAGCTTCCCGCGCTGCCCCGCCCGCCGGCCCGCCGGTCCGCCCGCCGGCTCGCCCGCCAGCCCCTCGGCGCCCGGCGGCGGCGGCGGCGGCGGCGACGGCCGCAGGAGGCGCCGTTTCCCTTCCAGGTGCGCGCTTCGCTCCCGGAGCCGCGGAACTCGGCGGCCGCCATGGCGTCCAACATGGACCGGGAGATGATCCTGGCGGATTTTCAGGTGAAGTATATGGCCTTGTACCTCTTCCACCTCCAACCTCGTGGGTTCCCGGTGCCAGAAGGGTTGCCTTTCCTCAGGGTTTGTTAGAGCATTGCGGTGGTGTGTGGTTTGGGCTTTTATACGGTACGTGGCGCGCGGGTACGCGCGCGCGCGCGCGCGTGTGTGTGTTTGGGCTTTTATACGGTACGTGGCGTGCCTGTGTGTGTGTGTGTGTGTGTGTGTGTGTGTGTGTTGTGGGCCATCCGGGAACGTGCAATTCTTATGCTGGTTTGGGTGTGTATAGAATTTGTATGTACGGATTTGCAGGGTGAAGGGATGTTATGATACTTGGTTATGTGTGTGGACTGTGTAGTGTTTCCTGTATTATGTGGAGAATGGGTAGAATTTGGGGGTATTAAGCGGGGCTTTTAAGTATGGGCTTTTTGGGAGTTTTGGGTTATGTACGTGGGAGAGTGCTGTATGGAGTGTGGGTGTGGAGAGTGTGGTGTTGTGGGTGTGGTGTATTAAGGGGTGAGTAAAAAAGAAAGGAGGAGGAGGAGGTGGTGAAGGTAGTGGTGAGGGTATGGTCTTTTTCAAGGAGAAATAAACATTCGAGACTTTGCCTTATTGGAATCTTTGGAGTGTATAGAAGGTAAGGAGGAGGCAAATAGACTGTATATATCAAAGTATCCTCGGTGAAAATTAAAAATTACATATTTGCGGATTCCCTTCCCCTACAGATTTGAATTGCTTGGTGTGTGTCCTAACTCCAGGAATAATTTAAAGAATAAGCAAAGGTTATTCCTTTACTTATCCCAACTGTAGTCACACTAATATATGAGTATCTTAAGGAGGCCCTTTGAAAGTAGAGTTGTACACCATTCATGAAAGACTTGTAGTTAGAACTAATACCCTGTGCACACCACCTTTGCCTTTTTATGTTTGATGAAGATATTGTAGTGAGATTTTTTTTTTTAAAAGATATTATTTATTTGTTTGACAGAGAGAGACACAGCGAGAGAGGGAACACAAGCAGGGGGAGTGGAGAGGGAGAAGCAGGCTTCCCCGCTGAGCAGGGAGCCCGATGCGGGGCTCGATCCCAGGACTCTAGGATCATGACCTGAGCCGAAGGCAGACGCTTAACCGACTGAGCCGCTCCGCGCCCCATTCATTTTGGCATTAACTTAGAAGCTACTGTTACGTATAGGCAGACTTTTCTCTCTGTAACAGTCATCATTGCACATGGTCTAACACTAGCATAGAGGTGATAGTTTTTCTTACTGAGATTTTGTTTGGCTTCTCTTCTCCCTCTTTCTCTGATTTTCCTTATTTCATAACTTAATATTGTGATGGTCATTTCCAGAGTTTGCTCTTTATCTTACCCAGTAAGGGTATCTGATTTATTGGGAATGTGGATATATCTGCATTTGATTATACTGTAACTTCCAAACTCAGAAAGAAGTGTTCTGAAAATAAAAGTTGATCGCAAGATTTTGGTGTTTTGTAGGATTAGAATTTGCCTGAGATTTTTTTTTTTGCCTAAGTCTTTTATTCTCTTTCTTTTTTTCATTCTCCAATCTTTTATCTAATGTGGGATATGGTCATATGAAAAAGGACTCTATTTCTAGGAGTATTTTATCCTGTTATAAAACTGCTTTATAGAAATGTCTTTAGACAACAATGGTCATAGTTTACCTCACTAAAAGCTTTAAGGTAATTATAACTTTGTTTTGATTTCACCAAATTTTTTTACTTACTCTAACAACTTGTAGCTGCTTGTTTTCTTATTTGTGATAGTTATTATGTTTACTGTGAACTTTATATTGGCCAAGGACAGGAAATTTAGGATTCTTGTACTCAGAGACAAAGTAAGATTTTCTGACAAGCATTTGGGATTTTATTTTGATCACATTAATACATTCTGTTTTTCTCTTCGAACCAGTGGCATGATGTGAACAGTTCTTTACAGAATGGGAAAAAGCTATGGCATTCTCAATGTTTGCCAGATGGTGAAAGTTTATTTCATATTGTCAAGTAGGTAAGAACGTTATTGGTAGAATAAAAAGTACACATAAATAAAATATGAATAAAAAGAATACACATACAGAATAATACACATACAGAATAGAAAGTATACACATATTAAGTACATTAGCCTTTTGTGTTTTTAGGAACCTTGTATTCCTCTCACAAATGATTCCAGATCAGTTTGTTCTTGTGGACTTACTTTTTAAAATCAATTATTCTTCCTATTTTTTAATATTATGTAAACTTTTTTATAGGATTAACTTCTAAAAATTAGCATTTATCCAGTTATCAGAAACTAGGTAATTTTAAACATTGAAGTTCAAGTCTTGTAGATACTTGGATGATGCTGGTTTCGCCTGTAACTGTAAATCAGTTTCTCCCCAAAAGTGAACACATGACTGTGAAATTAATAATTTTGAGAGTTCAGTGCTGCCTTTGTAGAAAGGCACATGATTTTTTTTAAAGTTTTTATAAAAAATTCTAGTTAGTTAACATACAGTGTCATATTAGTTTCAGGTGTACAATATAGTGATTCAGCACTTCCGTGCAATGCCCAGTACTCATCACAAGTGCACTCCTTAATCCCCATTACCCATTTAACCCATTCCCCCCACCTACCTCCCCCCTGGCAGTCATCAGTCCGGTTCTCTATAGTTCAGTGTTCACTTCATGGTTTGCCCTCCTCTCGCTCCTTTTTTGAGAAAGGGACATGATTTTTAAATATGATCAGATTTTAAAAAATAAGTTTCAGATTTTGATTATTGTTAGGTAATAGGTTCTTCTAAAGACAGTGCCTAAATATGAAAAAACTTTTTTTTTTTAAGATACATTTATTTATTTGAGAGAGAGCCTGGGGGAGTGCTCTTGTGTGCTCAGGTGGGGAGAGGGGAGGGGAGGAGCACAGAGTGGACTGGAGCTGGGGCTTGATCTGACCACCCTGATATCATGACCTGAGCTGAAATACAGTTCCATGCTCAACTCACTGAGCCACCCAGGAGCCCCGGAAAAACTTTTGGGAAAGATTTTTGTATATTAACTATTTCAACTCAATGGAGAAAGGACTTCTGTTGAAACTGATCAGTGAAGGAGTAGTTAACAATCGTAATTTTAAAAATAAATTACCTGGTTTCTTATAACTGGTAAGTAGTGGATGGAAGATTGCACCTCAGACTTAATGAGACAGGTTTGGAATTTTGTAGATCAGTGAACTCATTACAAAGGAAATGTATTACAAATTGTCCTCTAAAAGATTCCTCCCCCTGAAATAAGAACAGCTTTCAATTAAAAAATTTTTTTTAAAGATTTTATTAAGGGAGTGAGTGAGAGAGAGAGTGAGCACGCACGAGCTGGGGGGCGGGGGGCGGGAGGGGCAGAGGGACAGGGAGAAGCAGACTCTCCTGCTGAGCAGAGATTCTGAGGTGGGGCTGGATCCCAGGACCCCAGGATCATGACTGAGCCGAAGGCAGACACTTAAACTGACTGAGCCACCCAGGCACCCCTCAATTAAAATTTTTAAAAAATTGTGGTGAATATATATAACATAAAATTTGCCATCTTAACTTTATGTGCCATTTTTAAGTGTCCAGTTCAGTGACATCAAGTACATTTACATTGTGAAACCATCACCACCCACCGTCTATCTCCAGAACTCTTTTTATCTTGCAAAACTGTAACTTTTTTTTTTTTTAAAGATTTTATTTATTTATTTGAGAGAGAGAGCACATGAGAGGGAGGAGGGTCAGAGGGAGAAGCAGACTCCCTGCCGAGTAGGGAGCCTGATGTGGGACTCGATCCCGGGACTCCAGGATCATGACCTGAGCCGAAGGCAGTCGCTTAACCAACTGAGCCACCCAGGCGCCCGCAAAACTGTAACTTTAACCATTAAACAGTAACTTCCCATTTTCCCCTGGTCTCCAGTCGCTGGCAACCACCATTCTATTTTCTGTCTATGAATGTGAATATTCTAGGTACCTTATATAAGGGTAATCATGCAGTATTTATCCTTTTGCGACTCTCCTATTTTATTTAACATGATGTCTCCAACGTTCATCTGTGTTGTAGTATGTGTCAGAATTCCCTTCCTTTTTAAAAGGCTAAATACTGTCTATGGCCGTACCACCCTGAACGCGCCTGATCTCGCCTAAAAGCCTGAATACTATTACACTATTAAACAGTATGTGTATACAGTAATCCCCCATTATCTTTGGTTTTGCTTTCTGTGGTTTCAGGTACCCTTGGTCAACTGTGGTCAGTATGTGTATATAGTAATCCCCCATTATCTCTGGTTTTGCTTTCCATGGTTTCAGTTACCCTTGGTCAGCTGTGGTCCAAAGGTAGATGAGCTTCCTGATGTATAATAAGAAGGTCAGTAGTAGCCTAGTGCTACGTCACAATGCCTAGGTCATTCACCTCACTTTATCTCAACATGTAGGCATTTTATTGTCTCACATCACCAAAGAAGGGTGAGTACAGTACAATAAGAGATTTTGAGAGACCACATTCATGTAACTTTTATTGCAATATACAGTATTGTTAAAATTATTCTGTTTTATTATAGTTATAGTTAATCTCTTACTGTGATGGGTTTATAAATTAAATTTTATCATAGGTATATAGGAAAAAACAACATACATAGGGCTCAGTATTATCCTTGGTTTCATGCATCTGTTCGGGGCCTTGGGACATAACTTGCAGATAATGGGTCACTGCTGAACCACATTTTGTTTACCCATTCATCTGTCAGTGGACATTTTCTTCCATGTTTTGAATATTGTGAATCATTAATGCTGTTATGAACATGGGTGTACAATTATTTGTTTGAATCCCTGCTTTTAATTCTTTTAGGTATATATCCAGAAGTTGAATTATTGGATCATATGGTATTTCTGTTTTTAATTTTTTTGAGGAACTGCCGTCCATACTGTTATCCATAGTGGCTCACCACCAAAAGTTTGAATGGAGACAATGACAGCATCATGTTTAATGAATTATTT